AAACACGGCAGAAATCAGGAGAGAAAAGGTTTTCTGAGCAAGTGGCTGTGGTGCTGATCATGCACCAGAATATCTCACTGGGAGGCTTAAAAATGCACAACCCTCCCCCCTAGTTTCATGCTCAGGGTGGTTCAGCGAGGACAGCCCTGCCCACACTTGCTCCAGCTCCTGCTCTTTGGCAGGTGCCCTGGCCATCGGGGTCCATCGCGGTCTTGCATATCCTCTTGCAGCGGATTTTCTGCCCCTTGAGGCTTTAACTCCTTTGAGACTGCCTGATGCCAGCCAAAAACTGGAGCCCGACAACTGCAGCACCAGGAGGTTGTGCTTGTGTCGTGGCTCATCTGAGGTGCCCGAGGGCTGTGTGTGCTACTGGTGGCCCCCCCGTGTCCGTACCCCATAGGGATGTGCCCAGGTGGGCAGCAAACCGCTGGCTGGGGTTGGGTCCTAAATCCAATAGCGCTGAGGAAGTGTCCAGCAGTGGGGAGACCTCATACTCCTGACCTTGACCTATCTGTTGTTGCAGCCCTTTTCCTTCACCCTCTTAGCAGAAATCTTGGGCTAGGGGAGATCTCAGAGGCCAGGGCTGGGGGACCAGGTGGGCTGGGGGACCGAGTGGGCTGGTGCTGCATGGGCAAACGGTCTCTGCCTGTGGCAGCCTGCGCTCAGCTGCTCCTTCTCCCAGGGGGCGCTTTTTAGCGACTTCATCTCTAAAGTGTGGGATTATCCTGGAAAATGAAAGACGAAGCAATGAACCAGGCTCTTTCCTTCCCTCGGGACTGATTTGCTGGAACATCCCAGTTTGCTCTGAGCTGAGATGGGCTTGCTGGGGCAATTCCCAGTCCAGGGGTTTGGTGCTCAGTACCGCAAGCCAGCAGCATGCTGCCTGCCCCACGCATGTGGGGCCGGGAGCAAGAGGGAGTAATTCCTGACAGCAAACTGTCCCAGCCAAAAGCTCTCTATCCCAGAGGTAAATTATCCCAGCTCTCTCTCCTAGAGACCTGTAACCACTCTCCTCTTTGCTCCTCAGGTCTCAGGCAGCAGACCCACGCACCCGAGCGTCCTTTGTCCCACTGCCCACCTGCCTGTCCCCAAAACGGAGGAGCCCACCG